GGGTATCTTGATTATTATTAAAAATGTATTAATCTTATTATGGATGTTTAAAATCATTTGATGTAGTTCAAATTTTAAACCAATCTTGAGAATTTAAAATATAATAGCTATGATAAGAGCTACTCTTTTCTTATTAAATAATTGTAAATTAGTATTGTATATAAAAGTTATGTCTCATATATTTATACAATACAGAAAACTCAATTAAGTTTAAAAATTATATTATATCATAGTCAATAAGTTTGATTATTAACAGAATAGCGATTGAAAGCATTTTGTTAATTTATATTACTTAAGATACAGTAATAATCATTAAAAATGAAAAGATTAACAGTTAACTCAATAATTCTAAATTTAAATTGTAATTGAGCTAATTAACAGGGCAAATCAACTTTAATTTATGAATTGCGTATTCATATTACATATATGATTAATCAGATTCCTTTTATATTATTTTATTACTTAGCCATGAATTTCTCTGTCAGAAGCTAAGCTATTTTTAAATAGAAGGCATAATTTTAGTGAATCAGCTCATCCGAGCATGTCGAGGGTTATATTTACTAGTTAATTATCTTAGTCATTTTTCAAATACATAAGAAGAGTCTTGCATTGCCAGCCTCATTGAATAAAATTAATATTATATTGATCTCTCTTAAAATCAACAGAAAGAATTAAAACACCTTATGGTTATAAAAAAAGATGCATTTATTTCGATTATCAATCCAATAATTACAATTTCCAAAGTAATACTATTTAATAATAAGATGAATATATAATTGAAAATTACATCCTACTAGTTTTAAGTAGAAAATATTTGAGATGAGTGATAAGTTGAAATATATTATCAATATTTTATACTTATTATTATAAAGAATTAATTTTATAATCGAATACAATAAACATCTTTGTTTTCTTTTTTTGATTTACATCAGAATTCTTCTTGACTTATCAATTTTCAATTAAAAAAAAAAGTTAAATAATATGATGTTAAACTTATTATCCGTTAATTATTTTGTATATCAATGATTATTGAATCTAAAAACTACTCAAAATAAACGTTTTCACTTTTTGAAAACTATTTAATATCTATTGAATGATTTAAGCAAGTAAGTTTGATAAATTATTAATATTTATATATTATAATTGTGGCCGTTTAATTCTTAAAGAAGTGCACTTATTATCAGCCGCAAAATTGAGTATAATTGTTGGTGGACTATATATGAGATTGCAAAGACTTTAATGTCACATTTTTAGGTTACTTCTATTTTTCTTATAAACCTAGTGAAGGCAATTTTTCGAACTGTTGGAAAAATGTTTAAAATAGGCAGTAAAATGTTAACTGCTATAAAATAAGTAGTAGCTTTCGAATTATTTTTTGGTTGATATGTTCATGACTTTTTAATTACTAAAATTCTCTTTCATCTAGTCAAATTCTATTTAATACCTGAGATATCAGTAAATTAATTATTTTCGGTTAGCGTATATATACAATTACTTCATTTTAGAAAAAAACTTTTTGGTATAAATTCAATTTAATCTTAGCTGTGATAATTAAGATTTTATGGGCTATGATTTTCATCATCTCTAATAAACAGATTAAAGCAATACTTCAATTGTACACCAAATATCATTATAACATAAATACTACTATTAAAAAGTTAAGGAATAAAAATATTGTACATTTTTATAAGTCAATTAATGGTGCCAAGTTTTGAAAAGGGTTTGTCAATAAATTTATTTGACTGGATATTAATCTATAATATCTTTTCTTAATACTTATAGGAAGCAAGTTAAAAATGGAGTTCCAAAGTATATAACACCCTTTGATATTTCTAAATCCATTTCAATTCAGTTAATTAGGTTCTAAGTTGATTTATATCAGCTCTTTTAATTCAAACAATATTTTATCAAAGAGTTGAATTTTAGAGAGCTTTTGAAATTCAAATAGCAGATAGAATATATTATATCTGCTAATTGTTTTTCAATATTTTTACTTAATCTATAATTACACAATTAATAGAAA